CGCCCTTTCAGCCGTGGGGGCGTTATAAAGTGACGGTCAATCCCACTATTCAAGAGTTGGCAGTGGGTGGTGATGACTAGCTGCCTTCCCTCTAGTCTTACACTGCTAAATTAGGGACAGCTAGCGCAGATAGCCCTCGTGTAGCTTTGCACGAAATTCAAAAACAAAAAACGAAACCAGAACTTGTACTGCACAACACGTGCTTGCACTATACTGTGTTTTGTGTGTTTACTCCCCCATTGTCTGAAAAATAGCGCGAATTTTACCATGTTGGCGTGCAGTTCAGATTTCAGATATCACAAGAAATATAAATCTCTATTCGGAAGCTTTGTTTGGGAATCAACTCACCAAAATTGTTTTCCTGACTCGCAGTCTGGGTGTTAATAAATGATCTTTCGATTAGCCAGATACTTTTTGCTCTAGCTTAAACGGTTTATTTCATTTTGTAACAGCTTGTGTGCTTTGTGTTTAGTGAATTACTGCAAAGAACAGATATTTAATTGCTCTAAGTAGAAAACTTGGACAACATTAGAGTTTTAGTGAAAACGTGTTGTATTTTTTCAATTACCACAGAACCCTAAGTTTACACATTTGTTTAAACGACTTGGTTAGATATTTTTTAACGACATTTCACTACTAAGAATGCAAAACATTACGGTAACCTTATAACCTCGACTTCGTTTGTATATCCACTTTCACCATATTCGGTAAAAAAGGTGTTCATATAAATATTTTAAAACTTAGCCATTTACTTTAAACTTTTATACCATGACCGTTCAAATATGCTTATTGTACGTCGAAGTTGTTTGTTTGTAAGCATCGAAAACATTTACTGACATTTTATAGGTCCAAAATTCACAACTTTTATTTCAAAGGATTTTGTCACGTGAGAATGAAAAAGGGATATTCGAAAATGGGGAATGAAAGAAGTTTATCCTTATACCATATTTCAACTATTGTTCAACCAGAACTTTGAGGACTTTATCTAAACAACTGAAAATGAAAAACATTGAGGTAGGATGTAGAAATTGAGGTATTATTCTCTACTGACACGAGCTTGTATGTGTTTTTCTAGCTCTTAAACCGTCAATTATGAGACATTACATCTTATAGTTGTAGTTAAATGGATACAGCTGCACTATTTAGTTTGAATATCTACTTACGTACAGTCACAGCATATGAACTTTACGTATGATGTGTAATGGCCTCCTGATTTGTTTCTTGGACTCCTGTCTCCAGAGGGTTAGTTTCCTTCGGTCATTGCTTGGACCTGCATATGTTAGGAACATTATCTTTAACCACTTTGATGGCTTTATAACAGGACAATATCTACAATTTTTATTTCATGCTTAAAAATATACAAGCAAAAGATAAAGTGTAATCTAGTAATTCCACTGTAATACTGTAATTACCACTGTAATTCTATGATATAGTTATGTTTTAATATTGGCATTTAATTTAGAAAAGGCAAGAATTTTGTTCAAATGTTGACAATGTTTTGGAACAAAACGCTGCTATGAAATACGCTTACTGTTAAGGTAAAACAAGCCTGAAACTAGTCCTCATTGTTCCAGCAAAACAAAACCGATATCGAAACCTATATTTTCCTGTTTTTGGATAAAGATGGTCCGTCTGAAAATTTCATTACATGTTTTTCTTCAAAACTTTTTATCTCTTTGTATTTTCATATTTTAACCATTTTTTAGTTTCGACTTTTTGTTATTTGTGTATTTATATTTACATTTAGGAAAATATATTTCGAAGTTTTAAATAATAAATCTACACACTTAAGTATACTTACCTGTCACTTATATTATCGTAGGTTCCCTAAAACATAGTCTTAAATATCTTATTATTATACAAATGATAACAAAATATTAAGTTAATTAGTTAGTGAAAACTAGGTATATTCGTAAATTATACATTGCGTTATGTCTTGCTATAGATTTCATTTACAGATTACCTACGTTCAACCATTTGAATACACGCACACAAACGAATACATTACAGAATATCGTGTTCATTTAGTTTACACTAATGAAAGTACCCAGCTTCGCTCGGATTGTTAGGTTGATATATTCTACATGACTAAGCATAGAAGAAAAGTAAAAAGTATTTTGAAGATTTTTATTTCCCAGAAACACAAAACGTTGTAAAGAAAGTAAAGTAAATTAAGAATTATTTATTATCAATGAACTTTATCATTGCGTTAAATATTTTAAATTTGTATTTGATATCACAAATTTCGATCACATTTTATGAGAATTTATTACTATTTTTTACCATTCGATTAATGTCAGTCTATTACAATTTTGGTAACGTGGGTGCAAGGGGGACATGACGAGGGTAGCTTTGCGCTAAATTCAAAACAAATAAACAAACCTTATATATTAATTTCTAATATATGGAAAAACCAGTGCGTTTTGTTGAAAATGTGCTCCAACAATGGCCTTTATGTCATGTTGCTTAACAGCAAAAGTATAGCTAATATTGTGTTCTTAGTCTGTGTACTTCAAGTATAAAATCAAATGTATAAACTACGAAATTGAAAAAAATACATTTATTTATTTATTAAGTTAGAGTCTTCATTGATTAAAGAGGTTTGTTTTTATTCTTTGATTTTATTATTTAAGTTTAAAATTGGATCGATGTTTGTATTTTCATGATAAATTTTATGCACTTGGATCTTGGCTAGGTTATCTCAGACTATGGCTTTACTTTCGGCTTGTTTATTAATTTCTTTAGTTCATAACAACATTTACTACACTTAAAAGGTTTCACAGCAACACGAGAGCTATCAAAACACAACTAGCAAATGTATACTTAACTTGACACAACAGGCAGTTAGTTACCTTTACTGAAGAGGTCGTACTAACTGGGTGATTTCAAGTTCAAAACTGTATTTTTCAAGATACTATTCCAGATTTATTCAACGCAAAGCACTTGTCACGTGATTGGTCATTTCCCAATGAATTACAAAAAAAAAAAAGGTTAGCTTATATTCAGCGGAAAAGATACAAGTTTTATTTCTCATACCATAGATGACTTTACAAATATCTTTCCCACGAGGAGACAAAGGATGATACTGTATTGAGTGAATGGCATCGTAAAATGGGCAGCTAAAGTGAAAGGAACATAACAATATTTTTAACCAACCCGGTTTGTTTGTTTGTAATTAAGCACAGAGCTACACAATGGACTATCAGTGCTCTCCCCACCATGTATATCGAAACCAGGATTATAGCGTTGTAATAACCAACCTGACGAAAAAAAATAGCACAAAATAAGGAATTTTAAAATTTATATTTTAACAAAGTTTGTTTGTTTTTAAATTTCGTGCTACTGCTCGAGAAGTATCTACTCTAGCCATCCCCAATTTAGAAATGATAGACAAGAGGGAAGGTAACTAGTCAACACCAACCTCCGCCAACTCTTGGGTTACTATTGTACCAACGAACAGTGGGATTATAACGCCTACACGGCTGGAAGAGCGGGCGAGCATGTTCGATGACGGGATTCGATCTCGCGACCCACAGATTGCGAGAAGAGCACTCTAGCTATCAGGACATATTAACAAAACACATAGTATGTTTATATACGACAAGTATCCTTACTTTTAAATTAATTGACAACAAGTATTTAACAGCATCCACCGAAAACTCTTGGGCCATTCTTGTCTGAACAAATAGAGAAACTTCGTCGTTAATAATATAAGAAATCTACAGCCCTAAAGCAAGAAATGCCTTCTTGTTTTTGTTGTGTTTTTTTTTGGCGGAAGTAGGATCCCAGTCATGAATCTTCGGATTTACTCTTCAGGCACAGTAGCTTCCGGGCGATACCTGGCGAACAAAGAATCCCAAAGCAATTGAAAACTATTTCTAAGTAATATAATATCATCATGTATACTTTGAATACATTAATAGCAGACACGCATTAATTTTTACTGTCCTCCAGCGGGTCAGTGGTAAGTTTATCGACCCTAAAGCCCGAGGTTCGATTCACTGTTGTGTAGCATTTCGCTAAAACAGATAAAAATATTTACTCAATTTACCGTTAACCATGTTCACTACATCGTGTTCATAAAACCTTTGACATATAGCGTTACGTCTGAACGAACAATGGCAGAGCTAATCATTAAATTACATAATTAGTTGCATGCCTTCGAGATTTAACACAACTCTGTATATTTCAGTTTGTAGAAGAAATGCCGTTAGTGACATATTTTTATTAGAAAATAACCAATTCTCTGAACAGGATGACGCAAGCAGTGTGGTTGTATCATGAACAATATTAATGCTAAAAAGTTAAAATGAAGAGACCTAGGATGAATCTCTTTGTAAATGTTCATCCACCAGATAAATGTGGTGTGTTTGAAGAATCTGTTGGAAAGAATTTTACACCAAAGTTGTCATGTATGTCACAAACTGAGATGTATGCCAGACCACATATTTATATCAATTATTCACTACCAAACTACAGAGGTTCACATTGCCTCGGTTTTTGCGAACACCTTGTAAATGTTTTAATATAACTTTAGCCTACAAATCCTAAAGTCAACAAGTAAAACGTACATTTTAGAACGATCCTGTCTTCTACCACTTCTGCTCCCCCCTCCCAGTGGCACAGCGGTATGTTTGCAAACTTACAATGCTAGAAATCGGGTTTTGATACCCGTTGTGGGCAGAGCACAGATAGCCTTTGTGTAGCTTTTTGCTTAACAACAAACAACCAAACAAATCTACCACTTTTTTTCATCTGAGGTAACACTTAGGAGTAAATTGTAAGAAGCTGTAATTTATTCATTTAATTACCCTTGAATATTGGTTCAAATTGTAGAATCTTTTCTTATATACTTATATTTATGTTTCTTTGAAAAATACAATTTCCATATACGCTATAATTTACATAATATCGATTGAATAACATAAACAAAGCTTATCCTTCAATCCCACTGGGTAATCAAGATAACTCGATATTAATTTTCTAAGACTAAAACTAAGAAAATACATAAAAAATGTCGCTTAGTTTAATTCTTTTGTGATTACGTATGGAAACTGCTTATAGCAGTGCTCTACAAAATATGTAAAATTGATGAGAATACTCGGTGAATACACAAGATATCTAAAACGGGTTCGTTTAGTAAAATGTCAATCAGTTATACACACGAACCGGAGCGTAACTAATTTTGTCTCTTACACAACTTTTTGTGTAGGACTTTGTACACGTTCATTTCCATGTAATTAATCATAATTCCAATGTACTTATAGATGTTACGGCAAAACATAACGAACATTCTAATTAATTTTAGTTTCACTATTTTTCTACTTTAAAATGTTTTCAACGTTAAAGTTCAGAATTTGGACTTGCTTATATAAAGTGATTTTTTTTCTTTCCCTTTCCCTATACACTATAATTACATTATATATACCAGCATCTTAGCAGAAAGAAGGTTTTCAGTGAGACAGCTGTGCTATAACGAGTTTAACACTGGCCACCATGAGAAATATACGAAGACACAGAGGTACCCATAAATAATCGTTCATTATGTAATTTATTTTTTGTTTTATCTCTTGCTCGTTCTTCAGCTAATGTTATTATATTCCAAGCAAACATGGATTAATATGAAAGTAACATTAATTTGGTTACGTAAAGTGCTTGCGCATAGGGAAATTTTTCATTCACCAAGGTCTAAAGTTTTTCATAGCAATAATGTATTTGAAATATTTCAATTTTCAAAATTCAATCATCTTTAACTGTTAATTTCTTTCGGAAGGTGCAATAAAAACCGATTATTGATGCTGTAAGCGTTTGACTCTGTTTTATATTATACATAAGATATTTCCAAACTCAAATACACTTGGAAAGTATAATAAAACACTTTGCTGAGTTTAGTCTTTGTTATAAGTACAACAATAATTGCAGGTTTAATTTAATATCTTAGCAAAATATATATAGTACTACGTTACTTGTGTTACAACTCGTTTAAAACTCACAAGTTTGGACTTATCCTAGTTAATTATAAAGAGCAACCTTTCTGTAAAACATTTCTGACATTTTCGCGCATTGTTATTCAATTCTCAAGCTGCTTGGGACATGATAACTTGTTTATTCAGCACTTTCTTTTAAATTGTAGGCTTTTAGAACCCATTAGTTAACCGTAAATACTTATTGTTTAGCTAACCATTAAATATAAGGTGCGGGGAACTTGTAATAATAGCACCATGTTGTTTACTTAAACATTTTTCGTTTACTGGTGGAAACAGGTTAGCA